CAGCAGGAGTGCTCGGACCCTAATCACAGAAGCCTCTGTGGCACTGACCCTACTCTAAGTCACAGACTGGCTTTTCCTCCTTCCAAACTCTTTTTCTCTCGCTTCTGGACAGTGGGGAGCAAGGCCTTGCTTCACAGGTGTGTTGCAGAGAGTAATTAATGACAAGCGCATTGAAGATGAAAAGCACCTGTTGAGGGTATTTCGTACAACTTTCCGAGCAACCCCAGACAGATCTGAAAAAATACACTCCTTTCCTAAGGTGCCTGTTCTGACCCTCGTGTCATTGTGATAATCCTCGGGCCCCTCAAAGCAACAGTAAGAACACAGACATATGTATTGGTTCCCAGACTAAAGCTTAGGCTAAAGAAATATTTTAGTCTCAATTATTTCGGGTTTGGTGGTTTAAGAAACTTCTTGCCATTCACAAGGCTCTAGTCTCTGAATTCTCCCTGGGCAGCTTCTATCCTGCTCCTCCAAGTGAATTTCACACTTACTTAGAGTGCAGTTTACATTATCAGTTGTATGTGTGTTGTAGAAAGGGGGTTTGTGTATGTACAAGCATGTTCTTATACACACACACACACACACACACACAGAGCCTGTGCTTTGGATATATTTGAGCATTTACTTCTGGGAAAAAAATCAGTGTATTAAATATAGGCAATATCGATCTTTAACATCTGAAATGAATGCCTCTCAGCCTTAGTTAAAATATGAACTCCATCATAACTCCATTGATAACCCAGTGATGGATAAATAAAGTGTGTCCTAGTGTACTGCAGAATGTGATGGCTCTTGCTTGATCTGGTCTGCATGTAAATATACACTTGGGGATCTTCCTAGATTGGCCGAGGGGTGAGGAGAAGGGAGAGTAGCACGTGCGTCCTGCTTCAAGTGTAAGAAGTGTGACAAGGGGGACCTGGAGGAAACCTGGCCATTACAGCTTTACAAAACAAAAAAATCTTTCTTTGTTTTAGTGTGAACAGAACTGAAACAGAAAGGAGCATCGTGAGCAAATCACGGAGCAGCAGGAACAGTGTGGGAACATCCAGTGACTCAGTGATTGCGGAGGTAGCACAGAAGAGGGGGGACAGCCAGGCCCCATCCGGTCCCCCGTCCACGGGACAGGCGAAGGCTTACATAAGGGCAGCTGAGAGCCACCGGGGGCTTCCTGTTCCAAAGCTGGAGAAAGTTCATCAGCCCCCGCCAGAAGGCACCAGCCACCAGCAGAAACCTCATCCTGGGACGCGGTTAGAGACGGGGCTTCTTCGCGGGAGCCCTGTCTGTAGCTGTGAGTCAGCATCCCCGGGTCCAAAACAAAGTCCACGAGGGGCCAGAGCACAACAGAAACGCAGGAACCACGGCTCTGTGGAAGACGCCGACCACCGCAAGAGAGCTTCTCTTGGAAGTGATCGATTAGTCCCGAGGGAAATAATAGTGGGGGGGAAAAAAACAAAGCTGTCAAGGTTTTGCCAACTTCAGAGCTGTCAGATCCGGGGTTACTTTTGAAACGAGATTTGGCAGAAACCTCGTCTAATGAAGAGTTGCATGCTTTGGAAAATCTCTCCTCCAGACATCTTATGAAAAATAAGCCAGGGCAGGCACGGCAAACTGGCTCAGCCACAAACACTGAAAGATTAGCTACGACTCGGGGCAGCCCAAGCAAGAAAAGAAAGAAGTACGAAAGGCCACTAACTTACGGAAGAAGATTGCAAACTCGTAGTTGAGGATGTAGTGGCCAAGCCTGTGACAAACGAGCAGTGTGTCTCGATGCCGTGAATTTAAAGGAATTCGAATGATTGTTTTAAATAGAAAATATATACCTGCGTTGGGGTCAGCTTTCAAAGCAGCGGCCTCCAGGAGCCTACGTGCTTGTTCTGACAGCATTGCTACTTTCTCATTCACACTTTATAACTGTCTTCAGAAATTTACTTTAATGATAAATAGCCACTCGCTTTGTTGGCAGTGACAGTGTCCATGAAGGAACCGCATGAAGAAACCAGTCTTGTGCTTCCTTGTCACATCCACGTACGGGCCACACGGCAGGCCACGGTGCTGCTGGTCTGTTCTCCTGCCCTTCAGCCTGAGGAGGGCAGCGCTGGAGGAACGGGCTAGCGGTTCACACTGTCTGCCTGTGGCACCAGCATCATGGTCTGAATCTGTGGAAGAAATGCAGAGCCTGGGTCCCACCCAGACCTACAGAATGAGAAACTCTGGGGGATTCTGAAACCTGCCCACGTTCGAGAACCACCGGGCTAATTGGAGAGTCCCTAGTGTTGATTCCCTCCAGCCTGGCAATTCTGGCCTCCAGCACATCGGCAGGGGCCCACGTGTGGACATGAACCCGTCATGCCCCCTCCAACCTGTAAAGCACCTGGGTTCAGTGTATGAGTCACTCTGTTCCCAGGTTCTTAAGCAGGGCGGCCACAGAGCCCAGGGAGCTGTGACTTTATCCTAAGAGTTGCAGGACATTTACATATAATTCAGCCCAACATTAGGGGAAGATGTGGGAGAAGCTTGTTCTTGCTTGTAGCTCAGGCATGTCCGTGCCCTTGCCGCCACCTCTAAGATTCTGGTTTAAGTTCAGGACAGACAAGAACCCAAGTGGAACTCAGCGGCCAGAGTTTGCGGTTTTCCACTTGGAAGGCTTCACAGGCAGTTTAAATTTCAAACCAGGAGCCTTCCATCTGCAGTATCACCCACTGTTGTCTCCAGTGGGCTTGCTGAAATGTCACATAGTGAATCATAGCAATGACTTATTTTGGATGGACACCTACAGTAGATTTTCTTAACCCAGTTTCATTCTAAAATAAGGAAGAAACCATATGCAGAGGCCACCCATCGAATGTATCTTTTTTCCTGCTCAACATTGGGTGGTCCTTTGAAGCAGTACCTCCCTAGTAACAAGGAAAATCAGGTATATTCCCCAAAGTGTAGGAGTTAATAGCAAAAAATAACCCAGAGAAAGCCCAACAATATAAAAGAATATGGAGGTAGACACAGTGTAAGTTCATGCTTAAGATTAATTAGTGGCTCCTCCCAGCTCATTGTGTCCTTCCCCACTCTCCTGTCCCCTCTTAGATTGTAGGGCAAGGCTCATTAAGAGGCAGCCATATTTCATGGCATCATTTTGTGCCACGAAGCTAAGTCTTGCTTTGCCATACCTGGCCGTGGATACAGGTGCTAGCCCTTTGATGTTCCAGACTCTTCTGGTAGCCTGTTCCCTTCCTATGGTCCCAGCCTCACCACCCCCACCAGGAACATGGCCCCGCCCACTGATACCCCTTCCTCTTCCCACGTAGCTTTTTTCCTGCCCCAGGTGATTCCAGTCATAGGATTCTATAGGAAAGGGAGCCCAACAGAATACCAACCACAGTGGAGCAGATTCTGCTCCTCCAGTAGGGGCAGACTACACAGGGTGGAAACCTCCTGAGAAGGTGGTAGAACATGGCCCATCCTGGGCCCCTCTCTCAGAGCGATGTGTATTCTCGGTGTGCTCTTCACTAAAGACAGGACCACAGTGTGTCATTGAATCTTCTTAAACAATTATTGGAACAGTTTAAGCAGAGAGGGCACAAATAATAACCCAGGGAATAGGCCAAGAAACAATGAGCTCCCTGGGAGAGTCTGGAATTAAAAAGAGCCATTCCAATAGCTGCTGCCTACCCCAGAACTAGGAGATATTTGAACTGGAGGCACCAGAGAAAGTTTTTATCAAGTTTTTATTTCATTAGTTAACCTAGACCTGGCGGTTAAAGCCAATACTTACACGCTTAGTGATCGTCCTTCAAGAAAAGACTTGTTTTAGAGTTTGGTATATTTGTGGAAATAGCAATGACTGTGATCTAGAGGGAAAACAGCACCCTTGGCTGTAGATAGATAGGGTCTTTCTCACAGCCATCACGTACGTGGGATTTTTATCAGGATTAACAGAGGGAACAGCTCTCTGCTTCCGCAATAGGGCATGTGTTTGAGGAATTTTACCTTTAAGCATTTTCCTTCCACATGTCTGAAACACCCCTGGATCTCTTGTTACTTGAGTGGTTCTTTGATTCTTTGGATATTTGGAAGTACGGAGTGGAAAAGGGCTGCCAGGTTTTTTTTGTTGCTTATTAGGTGGGAAATGAAGAGTTGGTTCTCTACTGCCAGAAGTGGGTGTGTTTTGATATTCTTAATAATCTTAATAATTTCCAGCATCTGAAAATCTGAGACCCTGTCAGTATTCTTAGTTAAAAAGAATAAGTTCTTCAACCACTTACTTAATAAAGCAAATTAAATGTATAGTCAAGTTCCCGTAAGTCTAATGCTTGGAATCCAAGTCTGATGCTATGGATCCAATTTGATTAATGTTATAACTTTGAACTCCCTAACTTTCTCGATGTCATGGCTTCTACGTCACCTCCAAGTGCTTTCAAATGACTTTTTAATAGATTGGTGGTGGTGTTTTTTTTTTTTAATGTTCGCAAATGTCTTGAGAACCGTCAGTGTGACTTTTCTTACACATTTTTCTTTTCTTTGCCTCTGGAGGTTAACTGTCATCCAGATATGCATGTAAATTGCTAAATGCAAAGGAGCAAACGCTTGGGGAGAGAGGAGTAAATGCTGCAGCTTTTGTGCTCACTTATTTTAAATGAAAAAAATTGGAAAAATGTATTTCATTTTATAAAAAGCAAGAGTGATGAAAACTCTGTATTTTGATTTTTGGAGACTATAGCTTCTTTCTGAATGAGTATCTCAGGGTATATCTTGGGGACAACAATGGGATCACAGTTAATTTGTTTGCTCTCAGTGTCATGTTTGGACTTTAGCATGAATTGTTGTGCCTATCAGTGGCTTTTGATTTCAGGAAGAGCTCAGAAAGAGCAGAGCACGTAAGGGAAGGAAACCTCTGTACCCAAGAGAGTGGCCTGGGATCACGGTGTCGCCGTTCCCAGTTTCCTTGAATTCCTTCTTGGCAGGACCCACTGTAATATCTCCACAGAATTCTGGTGAGTGGCCTTCCTTTGGCTTTCCTAAGAGCCAAAACCTCTCTTTTCATTGTGCTGTGCTATGGCTTGAGTATGAAAATCCTTTTAATTTCTTCTTTTATGAGGAAATTTGCATGCTTGGTTTGTCAAGACAAGAGAGTTCAAACGTTATTATTGAAACACAAATGAATTGAAACGCGTTGCAACAAGTAAGAAATCAAAGTTAAGCTGATTTCTGTTAAACAGTTTAAAGTCTTCCTTAGTACAAAATAAATTAAGCATTGTAAAATGAAGTTAATTCAGAAAATCACTCAGGGCAGAAGTCTAACCATGTATATCATTGGTGTTACAATTTATGATGTAATTAAATTCTCAGAAATCTGCAGAACTCCCTCTAATTTGGTTTCTGTGTTTACTTAACAAGACAAGGAACAAATACATGTCAACGTGTAGCTTAACAGAGGGAACTTGAGTGGATGAAATTATTGCCTTTAATTGTCGAGAACTGCTCAGTACCGGGGTTGGATTTAATCACATAAGTTGTATTATGCAGCATGATATTACCTGATGATTGCTGTTACAGTTACTTATCAAAAATCTTGTTAATTAAACAAAAATCAATGAAACCATACATTTGATCCCCAAGCACCTGACCAGGCAACTAAAGGTATGGATTTGACAGATCCCCAAAATAAACTTTCTTCAATCAAGGCAGAAAGCCAAACACTGCAGGCATCACCAGGAGAGCTCCCTTCTCCCATTAGCCTTATCCTCTCATTTGTTTTGTTTAAACTGCTAAAATAGTTCAAATAGTTGTGCATGCCTAGGGGATGAAACTAGTATGTAGTGTAAATGAGCCTGTTTTATGAATAAAAAGTAAAATTGTTTTAAAAAAGTAAATTAGTGTATGTCACTTTTCTTTAAAGCAAGTGAATGAACCCCAAGGAATATACATTCAAAATGCCCTTTTCTGAACATGCTATCTATAACATTATGTTCTATTGGTTGGAGACTTTTTCCGCCTTGAAGCAATTCTGAGGTTTTGAAGACTGTATTCAAATAATCAAAAGGGCTCTTCATTTGAACCATTGGCCCTAAAGATTTAGGTCTGGAACACCCTGTGCGGGATGTTGTGATTAAATTGGCCTGTAAGACTTGGGGCGGCCTCTACACTGCAGCTATGTTACCACTTCTGCTCCCAGTGTGAGTCAAGATAGACTCCTCTCGTGAGGGGTTAAAGGATGTAACCTTGACTCCTTTCCAGAGAATCTTGACATTTCCCAAGTGGATTCATTTCCATTTTCGAAGTGAATTTACTCCTA